TTCCGGAGGGCTTGCCTGCAGAGCGGAGGAGACCCAGCTCGGGAGGGAATGGTGGCCGGGGACAGTCGCCCTTGCCTTCGTCCCTCCCTCCAAAGCTGGCTCGCGGGTCGGGGCCGGAGGGGAGGTCTGCTGACTCCTCACCAAAGACGCGCTCCGCGGGCAGGCAGCCGGCGGCGCGGGCTCGGGGCCGGGAAGCTGACCTGGGATGGCCGTGAGGCTGCTGCGAGGCCAGGCGCACCTCCACCCGGGGTCGCGCGGAAGTGGGGCTGGCGGGGCCCGCGCTGCTGGGCAGGCTGCGGGAAGGGGTACCGGCCCCGAGCCCGCTCCCAGGGAGAGCGAGAGCCGGGAGCGCGCCCTCGGTCGTGGGCTACCAAGCCCAGAGGGCAGGCGAGGTGACCCTTTGTTCCTGCCCGCAGTGACACTCTTCTGCAAAGGGCAAGACTGCCTCTACGAGCGAGGACTCTTACGGAAAAGGGAAACCAGTAGCTTCTCCTGCCTGACCCTCACTGCAGAGATACTCGTGCATTTGTTTCTATGATTTCCCGGTTCTAATGTCTTACCCTTAACAACAACAAAAAAGCCGTCTTGTTCCAAGTAAAATAAGCATTTGGAGATAAAATCGAGCTGGGCTAAAGGGAAAGTAAAAATCTAAGTCTCACGTGGCTGAGAGGCTGGAAATAACTGACAATGGTCAAACCATATGTGACAATAGGACTCCATCCCGGAACACACAAATTAATGGGCCCCGGACAGTCAATACTTGAGTCACTGACTAGCACCTCCCTTTTTTTTTTTTTTTTTGCCGCGGCTTCCAACTTGAGACCAATCAGAAGAAGCCAAATATGTTCTCTAAACCAATGAGTCCCTGCTTCTAGCCCTCCTCCTGTTTTCTTGCCAACAAGATCCAATCAGAATAAGCCTGAAGCCTTTCTTCCCTCCCAACCCAATTTTTTTTTTTTTTTACTGTAGCGCTTAACTTTTTTTTTTTCTTCCTTCGAGGGTTTAACTCTTTACCAAACGCCCGTGGATGCTTGTTGACCCCATTGCCTTAGCAAACCCCGACCAAATAACATCCTGTTGTCATTTGGTGATTCTGATTTAGTTCCATAAAGCAAAGACTGCCCTGTGTTGTCTTGAGACAGATTCTTGCACCATAGCTCTGGCTAGCCTGGAACTCATAGCTGGGATTTACAAGTGTGTGCCATTACACTAAGTGCGTTATTATTGTTGTTGTTATTTTACGTTTTGCAACTCTGAGTTTAAAGCATGTCACCTCCCATCCAGATTTTAAAGTAACTTCATGCAAGGGGATAAGGCCCGCACCTTGTGCTCACCCTGGAGAGAATCTAAGTGAGCTAAATGATCTATCTCTTGGAGGTATGAGGCCTTGTGTGTCCCTTTTTGTTGTGGTGTTTGGTTTTTGGAGGTAGGGTTTCCCCGTGTAGCCCTGACTTTCCTGGGACTGGCACTGTAGACCAGGCTGGCTCAGACTCAGAGATCTGCCTGCCTCTGCCTCACTGAGTGCTAAGGTTAAAGGCTTGCGACAACACTGTCTGGCCTAAAGCTGTTTTGTTTTGTTTTTTTTGGTTTTTCGAGACAGGGTTTCTCTGTGGCTTTAGAGCCTGTCCTGGAACTCACTCTGTAGATCAGGCCGGTCTCAAACTCACTGAGATTCGCCTGCCTCTGCCTCATAAGTGCTGGGACTAAAGGCATGCACCAACAATGCCCAGCCTGTGTTCTTATTTTTAAAGTGAGTGATAATCCATTACCATCTTTAAAAATGCTTTTTTTTTGGATCAGGCTTGTGTTCACACCTTAATCCCATCACTTGGGAGGCAGAGATAGGCAGATCTCTGGGAGTTTGAGGCAGCCTGTCTACATAGTGAGTTCCAGGCTAACCAGTTGGACTCTTGTCTTTAGAAAAAAAAAGTAGAAGGTTGTGGTCAGATGGCTCAGTGATAAAGATGTTTGCCTCTAAACCTGACAACCTCAGTTTGACCCTCAGGAACAGAACTTAATACTATACATTGTCCTCAACCTCGAAAGTCCACCCACATACAAAATTAAATGTGATTTTAGAAAATACAAATGGGGTCTTGAGAGATGGCTCAGAGGGTGGAAGCAATTGCTACTCTTGCAGAGGACCTAGGTTCAATTTCTAACACCCACATTGCAGCTCACAACTGACTTAATCCAGTTCTGGGAGATCTGACATCCTTTTTCTGGACCAGGCACACACACACCTTGCATGCAGGCAAAAAAAAAAAACCCATACACATAAAAAAAGGTAAAATTAAAAATGAGTTCTTTGCTAATGCACATAGTATCTTTATGTTTATAAAATGTATACTTTTTCAGGAAAATGATCCAGAAACCCACCTACAAGGTGAACAAATAGAAAAGTACTTTAGCAAGAAAAGTACTTTAGTACTTTGTTTTGAGGACAAGCAAAGATGGAAATGGGTTAAATACATCTCTCCAAACAGTCAGATGTAGTTTGCAGAGTTTTAGTCTCTATGACAGGTAATATTCCCTCACTACCACCAGCTGGCCAGCTCAGCACACCAGGTGTCTTTGGGCCTCATCAGGGCACACAAGGTATAGTCTGATGATCACCCAGAGGTCTTACTTATTCATTTTGCTCTTTTGTTTTCATATGATTACTATGCACCAGTAGTTTTTACTTATTAATTTGAAAATAATGTGTGGCTAAAAAGGCAGTAAAATCTGGAAACTAGCTTTTTAGGTATAGACTTGCTTTGGTCTGTTCAGATCAAAGAAAAAATTGACAGGGTTGTCATGCCAGATGACTTTGGTCCCCCTGGGACTTTCCAAGTTAGTTCTGGGGCAGTTCCTGACAAAGTTGTGACCCTGTTGAGCTGCTGGGATGCTGGGATGGGTACCAGGTCCCACCTGTACCTGAGCCTATGACAAGATGCTGTATAGACCAGGTTGGCCTTAAACTCACAGATACCTGCCTGCCTTTTCCTTCTAAGAGCTGGAATTAAATGCATGAGCCACCACACCTGGATTATTATTTTCTTAAAGTTCAACAAATGATGCTCTCCCTTCTCTCAGACGGCTCCAAATGGCATGTCTTCTCCCAAGCTCATTGTCTAACTGTACCTGGCTCTGCGCTGGCTTATTTGCTTTTTCTGGGTTTCCTGTGCTATTGTAGATTCGAAGTTTGTTTTAAATCTAGACATGGTGTCTGAGCGTTCTCCATTTCTTTTTTTTTTGTTTGTTTTGTTCTGAGACAGGCTCTCATTCTGTAGCCCAGGCTGTGTTCAAACACACAATCCCCTTCTTCAGCCTTGCTGGTGCTGGGATCACACAGGCAGGTGCTGCCATGCCCCACACTGGTTCTTATTTGTAAATAGGTTTATGGAGAACTTTTCTACAGTGGCTGACTGGTTACTTTGCAGGAAGGAGTGAAATGATGAAGATGGACTCTGGTTAGCTGCCACAGTCATTTCTCTACTTGAAGACACTTATTTTGGTGATCCAGTCCCCAAAGCAGGAGCCTCAGATGTCTGCACTGCTCCCTTTGGCAGTAACTAGAATACAGGTGCAAACGAAAAAGCAGTCTTGATGGCAGAGCAGTGTCTTTTGGAAGTAGGGGAAGACTCATTATGGAGTAATAAGCCGTTCCAAAGCCTGTCCGCTCATCTGTGAAATGAGGCTGATACACATGCTCTGGGGGTGGAGTGTAAGAAAAGTAAATGAGAAAAGCATGTGGTATGCCTAGCACAGGGCCTGACTCATTGCGTGCTGCAATAAACAATGGCCATTGTGACTGTGGGCCATCTAGATGGCTTCAAAGCTGTTTTGATGCTAAAGTTGAAGCTGGCTTTTGCAAGGAAGTTCAATTTTTTAATTGAATCTTGTTTCTAACATCAACAAGCTATAATTATTTACTTATTCATTCAACCATTCATGCTTGTCATTCACTCATCAGTCATTTAAAAAAGATTTATTTTTAATTGTGTGTGCTCACACAAGTGTGTGTGTATGTGTGCATGTATACTTGCTCACTGTCCAGGGAGACTAGAGGTGTCAAATTCCTCTGTTACAGGAGGTTATGAGTCATCTGAGCTCGGGGCTCTTA